GCTTGGTAAATTTACAATAATAAAGATGTTTCCAAATTTAAAATCTTGAAACTGTCATAGTGTTTGTTTGAATACTATGTACATGAGTCAATCGATAAAATGATATCATTAATATCGGTTGTACATACTTTAGTATGAGAATAACGTATGCATTACGAAGATCCATTACCAGTCATTGTACAAGAAAAAATGTGTTTTTACATTAAGTTATACCATCTTAACAATAATTAAAATCTATGAAGTTTATAATGTACAGTGCGTATTTTTTTATAGATGACAAAATTTGTCTAATTAATTATTTGTTTAACATGTAGAATATAATCTTTGAAATCTTTTTGTATTAGGATGTAACCGCTTTATATTTACTTTATCAACATCGAGAATGACCTAGCTGATTGTTGGTCGAAACGTATGTTGTATTTTATCACAAACATTATTAAATATTAGCAATTTCAATCTAGCTTTTGCTCTTTACACCTTTATATTTATTATAATGTTGTAAAGATATTATAATTAAATAAATTTGTTAAAAATTGTAATAAGAATTATGTATTATTATATATTATTCTTTTTTGATATCTGCTTACATAAAATTTGTTAATACTCACCAGAACGTTATATATCCGACTATTGTCCAAAACGATAACATAACAAAGACCAATGACCAACAAACATAACGTATCATGTGAGGATGTTTAGGCTCCTTATATTTTGTTGTACGATCGAAAATGCGTAAATGCGAAAGTGCAGCTCGTATCTTCCAGTTATACCAATATGTCATCACGATGTCACTTAAAACGCAGCTATACGAGAGACCTGTCCTCACCACGGTGAGCATCAGCAGCCTCGGTCCAATCATGTTGTCCCAGCGGAGCATGTAAAAATTTGCGATACAGAGACTAACGTAAAAGAGTGCAAACAGAACCGAGTAAATAGTGCCGTACTTCATCATCATAATGTCGTCCTCCGTAACAAGAAAAAGTCCACATCCAAACAGTCTCGCAATATGCAAAAGAGGTCGTATGTCACTCAGAAACACCATTTCCTATTATCGATCCTGACGCTCGAAAATAAAAAAGAACAAGAAAAAATAAGAAAAGTCCACGTTGAAATCTTCTTTGATTCTCTTATTAACTATTTGATTATTCCTCTTATTCTTCTTTTTTTTTAATGATTTTTTTAAGAGCCATATAAAACGAAAAATTGCAGTGCCGAGTCCGATAATCACAACACATTCTTCCTATTTTATTCAAGAAAAAAATTTCTCTATTTTTTTTAATTCTAACGCTCAATAATAGAAAAATAGAGAATACTCTCCTAAGTTCTTCTACTTAGCCGCTCCAATAGTGATGTCAGTAAGATAAATGGAAAGCTTGCTGAGCGCATGGCCTTCCCAATGCTTATCACACCCCACGTTATTAATTTGCCATCATGATAGAGTAAATGTTATCGTAATGAACAATTAACACTTGTCTTGCTCAAAAATTTCACGATGTGACAAACTGTCGTTCACCACCGACTACCTTCTATCCATCACGATTACAATTTCCTGAGTTACCGCTGCCTATTTACAGAGAAGGAAAAAAATCGACGCAGTCACGAAGGGTTTCAGCGAGCACACTCCGAGCATCGTACTTATCATGACATTATAGATGCCTTCCAGTGACACAAGTTGATACAAATATTATTCTATTTTTCTTTGTATTTCATGAGTAACAAAGACAGATTGATATTTGTGTTACTAAATGGAAGGCATCCTCGCTGATAATCGCGATACAGAGATTAGATATTATTAATTAAGATGTTAATTAGATGTTAAATGCTTCACTATTAACAAGCCACAACACGAAAAAATTACTCCTAAATGATTAGAACGAAACATAAATAAAGGGAATTTGTACTCGAAGAGAATGTCTTGAATTACAAATAAGTTACAAACAAATGCTACCATCTCTTTTTTATAAAAAGATATAAAATTAAAGAGATATAGTTTTTTTTAAATATGAAATAGGGATAAAACTCGCGTGAATATCGTGCGTAAAAAACAATTTTAATCACAGATAAGACTTGGCCGTGCGATAATACGCAGAGGAAGGTTTTACACATATATATACTTACACATATACATTTTATATATTGTATATAAAAATTATTATGCACATAGCATTGTAACCAGTGATGGGTAAGATACTCTTAAAATTTATCTAGATACAGATATAGATACACAGATTAAAATATATATGTATAGATACAGATATCAGATACTTTAAAAGTATCTTCAGATACGTTAATGTTATAGAATTTTACTATACTAGCAACAATAAAGCTGCTTTTTTTCTGCGGAATGGAATCAATCGACAATCATACATAAAATGAAATTATGACTATGCTGAGGAAATGTATCTAAAAAATGTATCTGAAAATCTGTTCAGATTTGTTGTCAGCTGTGTTTTTTTATCTAGATATAGATACAAATATTCGAATTTGAATATATCTCAGATACAGGTTAGATACACAAAATATATTTACTATACATGTATGTAGATACATGTATAGAGATACTACCCAACACTGATTGCAACTTAATATACAGGGTGTATTTGAAATAATACACTACTGAAATAGTACACTAATCATATAGTGCTATTCCTAATAAAAAACTGAGTCGAAAATAAACAATTTTTATCTCTGCAGTTTTTCTGTAAAATTGATAGTATTTGAGTAAAAAATTATTGAAAACCAATATTCACACAGCAATTTTTTGTAATTAATATCTTGTTAACTATTGCGAAAATTGCAAAATGCTAAAGAACTTTTCGACTCAGTTTTTTATTAGGAATAGCACTGTATGATTAGTATACATTATTTTAGATACACCCTGTGATAGATGTGAGAAATGGAAATTCCAGACTACAATGACGTAGCACAAACAGAAATATCAGTTTTTCTCCATCTGTGATACGTGGCATAAATCAACATTTACATGAAATGAAAAGTATAGGATAACAGCAATGTAGATCATTAGCGCTTAAAAGCCAATAGAAATGATTAATCGATCTGCACGTATATATATTTCAACGATTATATATATACATATATGTATAATCGTTGAAATATACATATATAAGACTTACGAAGAGAAAAAGAAGAAAGATCAAAATATGAATTAGTAACGATAATATTGCCTTTTACAAAGAAAATGTGACATTATCTTACTTAATGATATTGACAAAGCTCTTCAACAGAAAAAAAGCAAATTAATAAAATTCTACATTGTGTGGTGAGCACACATTAAAGATACTAGAGTAGATAAAAGTCTACCTTCATTTTAGATGACCCTAGCTTTCGCATTTTCGCATTATAACGATTATCTGATCGGTCATATGTAACAATAACACACATGTAAATAAAAAAGATATTATCACGGTGAGATAAGCTTCTATACGTATTCGGGAGAAATTCTGAAATCGTTATATCATTCGATAAGAAAAAAAAAAGATCAATGATGTATCCTCCTTTATATCGACAAAAGACAACAGACTTATTTAATAAAATTTATCTTCATTCTTTGAATTTCTAATCTAAAATCTAAATGTCATTCGCTAATAAAAAATTTAAACTTTCAATAAATATAGTGCAAAGTTTAAATATAAAAAGATTAATGTGAAATAATAATAAATTTATTAACTTGTTTTGAACCAATAAATTTCATTGCAATTTCTGTTGTGATAAATTTTTTTAACATATGTACTAAAGATTTAGTAACAACTTGATCTTTTATACAAATTCTCAACATATTATGCTGAAACAATATTTGAAGATATAATTGCACTTATAATCAATTCCATTTATTCGTTTTCAATAAATAATTACAAATAAATATATCATACACAATAATTTAAAATTATTAAATATTAAAATTTTGCTCACCATATTATATTCGATAAAAGTTATTATTAAAAATGTTGGGTATGCAGCCCCATTTTGTAATAACTCAGTAGTCAAAGGCTACTTGTTAAAAGTATTTCCTCGAAATGCTGAACGTCGCGTCGTGCTTTATGGGCGAAAACTGTTGGCGAAAGATGTTGGGGAAACGGTATGAAAAATTGGACGCCTGCAACAGCAAATTCTTTTCTCGCATGCGTTATTTCGACATGTAATGTAAGAAATCTATTTGTTGATGCCTTTAAAATAATTAATTTTAATTATATTGTTGAAATTTAAGAGTAATACGAATACAGGTGTTCAAATATAGGTGGAAATTGTTGAAATATGTCGGACCAATCAAAATGCAGTTTTCAGCTGTCGCGACTCTGATTAGAGGGTCTCTAATCTCGGCCGCTCGACGTACATTAATAATAAGCGAGCGGTTTACCCCCAAAAAGTCGCTTGGAAAATGATTGGATTCGATTTCTTATATTATTCTGCGGAAAAGCATATATATACACTTTATTTTTTTAAGTGGTCGTTGAAAAGTTATAAACAATTTTTTAAACAGAAAATTGTTTATAACTTTTCAACGACCACTTAAAAAAATAAAGTGTATATAGAGGAAAGTGGGCGAATTGTGCGCATCTAAGGGATATTTGTTTTCCTAGGATGGTTTTCTAAGTTCAAAGTGATATAAGTATGGAAATAGAAACTATAAACATTCTTCTACCATTACGTATTCTTATATTGAACAGATTTTCATTCAATAAGGTTGTATTTGGCAAAAAGAAAAAAAACGAAAAAGTGAAAAAATTTCTCGCGCGCCAGATAATTGTGCGTATGGATTAGGTAATTGTGCGCAAAGCAAAAATTGTAGGAAATGAACGAATTATGTAATGTTGATTAAGAAATCATAAAATATATTTATAACATTGTAATATAAATATATATTAATATATATTTAGCAAAAATACAAAACTAACCTCTAATACGTAATACTAATGCCCATATTTAGCAAAAATACAAAACTAACTTATAATAATAATGCACATAGACTTTGACAAAATAAAGAAAGAAAATACAAAGTGGAAATATTAGTCCAAACAAAAATCGCATATGTAATTTTCAGCATTATCAGCTCCACTGCATTCTTTGTGGATCCATTCAGAATACAGGCAGCACCGAAATCAGAGTTTTTTGTCTCTTCCGGCTTTTCCGCAAATGGTGCACTGTTCATTAGGAGGAAACAAATTGTCCGTGTTGATGTCAGAACTCGTCGACTTTTCGCTTTTCAAAACTTTAATCTTCATCCTCTTCTTCGATTCTATCTTTGATTTCAAATTCTTCTTAGTTCCGCTGTCTGCTTTTTTCTTCAACCTCTCTATTTTTTTCCTCACAACATCTATTTTCTTCTCTTTTGCCTGTTCCAATTTTCTTTTTTGTGGACTAGCAGTCAAAATTTCAGATTGCATTTTTGTATGAGAATATCGTATCTTTGCATTTCTCGAGGGAACTGGTGCGAAGTCTGCAATAGTGAATTTTGAAGTTGAAGCACTCGGGATTGAATCTAAAGGATCTGATATAGAATCGTTTGGAGCAGAAAACGCTATAGTTTCACGATCAGCAGAATTATCCCCTTCATTAAAATCAACATTTTCATTTGGTTCGAAAATTTCAGAAAGTGCTTCAAGAACGAGTTCTTGACCAGCATTGTCCGGAGTAAAATTGTCTTCGTTAAATTTGTCGGGGTTTAAAGGCCAAATTCCAGCTGATGAAAAACCAGAAATTCCTTTTTCCATTGTAGCTACCTTAAGGAATGCCTTATTCAATAATTCTGCGAAGTTATATTCGGTGATTTTCTCATAAACATTCGTACTTAAGAATAATTCATATTCCCGATAAAGAGCAATTTTCAACGGACCTAAGAAAGTCAGATCAAGAGGCTGAGTTTTATGAGACGTGTGAGGGGGAAGAGTGACAACAGTGATAAAATTGGCTTTGCAAAATTCAAAAGCTGTAAGAGAAATGTGGCTTGTGTGATTATCCAATATAAGAAGCACCGGGTTATCATGAGTTGGTTTCACGTGGTTCTTAAAATGCAGCAACCACTTCATGTAGAGATGCTCATTGGTCCACCCATTTTTGGAACAATCATAAATTGCTCCTATGGGTCCGTTTCTTTGAAGCTGGGAAGTCATGTGAGCTCTTGGATAAATTAACATGGGTGGAATATAATATCCTGCAGCATTTACACAAAAAACTGCAGTAATTGTCCGTCCTCTTTCTCCTGAAGTCACTGCTCCGACTTTTTTAGCACCCTTCTGGGCATAAATTTTTGGACATTTTTTTTGCACCGTAGTGATACCAGTTTCGTCCATGTTGTAAATTTGATTCGGCTTAAATTTAAATGTTTGAAAGACTTCATTCAAGTTATTAAAAAACTGTATAATAAAATCTTTATTGAATGCAGTAATTCTATTAAGGCTGGTGCCTTCTGATTGTCTTAATGAAATGCATGGGTGTCGCTTGAGAAAAAGATAAAGCCAATCTTTCCCAGCTAACTTTAATGTTGTATTAAAAAAATGGTTAATTTTATTAGCTTCTGCAAATTCGTAAGCAAGTCTGCGAAGCTCAAGAGGCGTGATTCCGTAATATAGCTTTGCAAGATTAATTATGTGATCTGCCAACTGTGCTTCTTCTTCAATCGTAAAAGTAGGCTTACATCCTAATGGTACATGTTCCAGCGAATTCAATTTCATCCGTTTTCGAAGCGTAGACTCAGGAATACCATATCTACGGCTAGCGTCTCTGATTTTGAGTTTACGACCGCATGTTATTGATCGTATCGCTCCTTTTAATTGAGCTTCAGTCCAATTATTTTTATCCGTCTTTCTCTCGTATTTACGAGGCATCTAAAATAATCTAAAAAAGGCAAAAAAAACAAAAAAATTAGTATAATGAAACTATTTAACTTAACAAGTTAAAAGTTAAACGACTCCTTTAATTAATACACAATATTATTTTAATTAATTTTTTAATACACAATTTTTTAGTTGTGTATAAAAAAATTAGTGCTAGTCATAAGTTGCTTTCCGTTTACCCTATACCGATTCTCAGATAATTTTCATTTGTGACGTCATAACTCAAATGAATGCGCGTTTCTTTTGCATTCTGACAAGTGAAATTCAACTGAGTTTTTACATATAATCTGCACAAGATCGAAACTGTGTGCTTTAGTGAGTCTCGTAAACTCACTTCAAAGTGGGATTATAAACCTGTGTTAACATGTGATAATTTTTTACACAAGTGACGTCATAATCTGAGTGTAAAATAGCTCACTTCAAACTCAGTTTCACTTGTGTGTATAACTTGAAAGCAGCTATATAGTCTATGGAAGATGGGTAATTGTGCGCATTTCAAAACGCCTGCACACAGTTGCCCGCCGCGACCTGATTCAATATGAAATACGATTACTTCAACATTTCTTAATCATTAAAACTTAAATAACAGCTAGAAAGGTGCACATAATAACGTACTTTAATAACGTATGCAACTTTAAACCAACAAATTAAAAATACGGAATTACCACCTTATTTTCTGAATGCCGAAATAACAAGAAAAGGTATGTTTTCACTTTTTTGTCTTTCACTACTTATCAACATACTTACGTCATCTTTTGTGGTTATAACTTAAGAGGACGACCTCCTGCAAAAATCCTGTAAAAATTTCACCACGGTGATGTCTCCATCTATTGGAAAAGTACCAAACCAGGATGCGCCTTAACGACATTCTTGCGACAAAGTTTCCTGCGACACTACTACTCGCGACATGCGACACAGCCTGTGCGACTATTGTAGACGAGGCTGAAGGTGTATGACGTACAGTGAGCTCTATAACATAATGGAGCGCGCCTTCCCTATACTAAACTTCCCTATAGAAAACCGCGGCCCAATGGAAAAAAGGAAGGCAAACAATATTGGTATTTCTGACTCTTTTCTACTTGTGATAGTAAAACAGCATTAGCTTAATCAGCGAATCCCTGACAAAGAAAACAATACTAACTATGCATTAGAGTGTCCTTAGGTTTGTTCGCGTCGCATGCTCCAACATGTTCCAATATGCTCCTACCATAGTTCTTATTCACTCCAGAGTGCTTGATAGAGTGAATAGGAGCTATGGTAAAGCTGGAATCAAACTACGCATTGAAGATTGGCTGCATTCAGCGGACTCAACAGTTGAGTGAGCGTTCGCTGCTATTGACGTATTCTTCTAGATCTAAAATTATGATTGGATGATCTAAAAGAATACACCAATAACAGCGAGCGCTC